AACATGGCGGTTTTCACTTTGTTGTTTTGGAGATTAAGATGGAGTAGTTCGAGTAGTCGCATACTGGACTAATAAAGTCGCAGTTCGGCCTTAACAGGTAGTATACTAGTCGCAAGATTGCCTAATTTAGTCATCCTAGAATCTAGCTTGTGCCGCCCTCTATAATCTAAATAAACGAGGGAGTGGATAAACTATCGGTAATATATGTCGATATATATTTAAATTTAGTTTTTTATGTACCTTTCTTATGTCCCATTTTAATTAAGTTTTTTTTATAAAAACAAAAACAGCACTGAACTGTCTGACTGAACAGAACAATGAAGTGAAAATTTAAGATTTAAGGTTATGGTTCAATACAGTTGCATAAAGGTAGTGACTCGACGTCCTACCAACGTAAGAATAAGGAAATCTAAACAACGTTGGAATTAGTAAAACAGACGACGTTTGCATAACGTTGGAATAGGTCCTGAAACTGACGTCGGAAAACTCTATATTGTCCAACGTTGTAACTACGTTGTCCGAATCACCTAAAGATCACTTAAGCAAAAAAGGTTACAAGACAACGTTTATTCGACGTCGCAGAAGCTTCTACTTTGCTGTAGTACTAGTCCAACGTCGGCACAACGTTATAAAAACGTTTAAATTTATTTTAATACCCAAGGTAGGGAGTTAACTATTTTTTGTAACTAATCCAACGTTGTGTTTAGTAAACATGTGGTCGCAAGTCGTGAAAATGCTACTTGGGTATTTTGCAGATAAAAATAAGTAAAAAAGTTCGTATAAATTTGTGTCCTAAAATGCTTTGTTTCGGAGATACAGGGTGTAGAAATTTCATTTTAATTTCGAGTTTTTCCAAGTAATTTCTGAATTATAGTCGATATTTCGATAAAAAAAATTGTGTCTGGGCGTTTTTAGACATGAGAAATTTGATTTCGATGTCAATATGACTCTTATTTGTAGGGGGTGTCACCTTCATGTGTTTTAACAGTTTCAAAGAGTAACAACTTTTTGTCCATACCTGTATAAAACTAGTGAGTAAAAAATATTAATTTTTGTCAGTTTCTACATAAAAAATGTATCTTGGTAAAAATAGCTATGAGCAACGGGTTTCAAGATATTTAGAATGAAAATAGCCAATACATGTCATTATTGACAAAAAATAAATATATTGAGTAGATAGTTCTTTGCCGGAAATGATAGTATTTGAGAAGTCAAGTTGCAAAACCCGCCTTATCCATTTAAAAAAAATGGCCTAATGATATACTTTAGTAGTGTACCCTAAAATCTACATAAACATAGTCCCCAACTGCAGGAAAAGTCACCTGTTTCTATGTAAAATTCATTCCCGCATTTGTTACCAATGGCATAGACTCATATCATCATTTTCAGCTTATTCAACCATTTCCAATTATGGTGTAGCCTCCCTCACATATTTATATACTCTCTTTGTAGTTGAGCCCATTGTTGTGTATTGTTGGCTAGGCGAGCCCAAGTTATCCCTGCTAATTTCTTAATATCATGGTCCCAATTCAGGTTCGGTCTTCTTCTAGGTCTCTTAATTTCTCGTGGGTACCATGCTGTAATTTTTGTGGTCCATCTGTTGTCCCTTCTTCTTGCCAGGTGTTCTGCCTTTTTGAGGCATTTGACTCTATGGATGACATCTATTACCTGGGTCTTTTGTCGCATCCACTCTATTTTTTTATGGTCTCTCTTGGTATATATATATCTCTCTCAAAATGGTATATTTATGTAAAATGATGAAAATGAAATAACCATTTGCAAAAATAAAAATTTCAAAAATTAATTTTTGAAATTTTTATCATTCATTTCAAAACCTATTGTTACTGATTTATTTCCTTAAATGTCAAACTGGTCAGATTTTAATATAATTTTTAACTGAATTCAAGGTAATAAGTAACGCAATAATCAAATATCACCTAAATAAATTAATAAAAAAAATCCTTATGGTGCTGAATTTATCTGCGACACTGTATATATTCAGTAGAACTAGTCTTGTATATGAGGGTACTAGGTACTACAAAAGTTTGGACATCTGTTTATTTTCATACTAGTTGACATCTGTCGAATTAACTAGTACAGTAAAGTATTAAGTGGATGATGGAAGTTTGTTTATTACTTATATAATTTTATGTTAGGATGCCACCGAGGATGCCAGTTTATCTAATGAAGAGACATTCGAACACGACATGTGTACTACCAGTCATGACCTATCTGCATGCGAAAAATGGATACTTAAAACGGACATTATACGGAAACTGTAGGTCGCACAACGCTCAATAGAACGAAATATGTTGGGAATAACCAAGAGAGACCGTAAAAGAATAGAGTGGATACGACGAAAGACCCAGGTAATAGATGTCATCCATAGAACCAAATCCCTCAAGTGGCAGTGGGCAGGACACCTCTTGCCAGGACAGACAACAGATAGACCACAAAAATTACAGCATGGTACCCACCACACTGATAAAAAGATAGACTTGAACTAAAGTCGTCATCGTTCTTGAAAAAAAAAATATTGGCAAGAGAATTTATTTTAGCGTAAAAGAAAATATTTTGCCTGAAGAAAAATTGTCTTAACTTAAGAAAACTTGTTCTCTTGATAAATTCGAAAATTTCTCTTGAATCTATTTTCATTCAACCAAGTACTTTTGTTTTAAGATACTAACAAAACTACGCTAGGAAGTACTTCATTCAAGAAACATGGCCATTTTTCCAATAGCTAAATACTCTTTTGATGAAAAATAATAACGACACGCAAAGACGATGACGAGGACGGTATATGCAATCAGTCGGCAGTACGCACTGCGTACGCGGCATCATAGTACGCACGGGTTTTGTTGCTTGGAATTTTCTACTTGAAATTTTGCATAATTTGCTTTTTAAACGCATATCGTATAACAAATTAGTGATCGTTATCATGCATTTGTCATTTTTTATGGACAAATTTAGGATATATGTATTATTTAAAGGAGTTTCTGAAAAAATGGAAATTAGAGCATTTATTTGCTATATTTGAAGGTAAGAGATATTTACCTAATGCACCTGTTTAGATAATGCATGCGTGACTATAGATAGAATAAGAATATAGGTATCGATTTTTTTCTGCAAATAATTACAAAAATTTTAGAATTTTAAGTCGTCGTATTAAAAAATTCAAAATGGGACCAAAGCTTATAATTTTAATAATTTGTTTGCTTTACTTTGATTAATCGTGATGTAACATTTTTTTGTAATTTGTAGAGTGATGAACCACCCCAAAAAATACCAAGAAATGAAGAAGCAGAAATAACTACTATCGAGGAAAATAATATCACTTTACTTACTACAGATTAGGAAAACCTAAATTTATCAGAAAATAATATACCTCGTAATATTATGCCTGTATATGATTTATAGACTTCTCTTAGATCAAAAAAATTTTAGTTGCGTCAATGGTATTCGCTATTGGTTTAAGAAAAGTGTCTCTTTAATCAAGAAATGTCCCTTTTCAATCAAGAATTTTTGCATGAATCAAATAAACTATTGTTCTTATAGCAAGAACTTCTTTGCATATTAATTTTGGGTCAAAAGTGAAATACTTTGGACAGATAGATTCTTCTATTCTCTAAAGTAATTTTTTAAAGCTTATGAAAAGATAGCTAATGCTTTGGGCAAAGAAACGTCGTTCTTGGTCCTATTGAAAAGCGCCAATCTTTTGGGTCAAAGTCATATTCATTTCGACTGAGAGGTCCTTTTTTTCAGTGCAGGAATCAAGAAACCTAGAGAAAGACCATACCTGAGATGGCACCATGATATTAGTAAGTTAGCAGGGATAACTTGGGCTCGCATAGCCAACAATTAGACAAAAATGGGCTCAAATACAAAGAGAGGCTCTAAATATGTGAGGAAAGCTACACCATAATTGGAAATGGTTGAATAAGCTGAAAATGATGATGATGATTAGGATGTTAATATGTTTTTCTTTATAATGTAAAACATCTAATGCTAAAAAATACAAGAAAGAACGGTATACTAAGTGATTTGTAATATATTTGAGGAGCATTATTTATTTCACACTCCTTTATTATTAGTATTTAATTTTACACTTCAGAACATTTTTTATATTTAGTTAATGTCGGAGTTATATAAATTCTTTGTCTCTCAGAATACAATGAAAATGAGGATATGATTCCAGCCAACCAAATATCGAATACAAGGAACGCTATAAATAAACGTATCTTGAACGAGGACGAATTAAGTCGAAGTTTGTAGAGGAATGATGGATTTGTGAAGGACAATCTATCTTGTCGGAGACAGTGCCAGCCCATATCAGTCACTGTCACGCCAGAAGGCCTTTCCCTGAAATATATACGTCACTATATCAGGCACTTTTTATATATCTATTTCTGGGCCGCTGTAAATCAAACAGCGGCGGAGAAATCAGATATATTTGTTTTAGATTCATTGTTCGAAGAATAATAGTCTTTAGTTCGTGAAAATCTTACAATATATTACAACATCGTAAAAAAAAATTGCGTCCTAAATTTTTTTTAAATCAATTTATTTTATTTATTATTTAGCGTATGGCATATTAAGACGGAAAGTACGTATATGACAAAAAGAAAAAAAATTGCAAACCAACATTTAACAAATTTATATAATCTATTGATTCTGGAGTTGCCAATAGGAAATCTTCTGGTCTACCGTTATAAGCCGTTTCATAGGACATTCCTCCATGTTTGACGGTTTGACGGTTTGATTTCCATGTTTGACGGTTTGATTTTGCCGCACTCGCAGAAGGGGCTTGGACTCTTGCCCCATTTGTGTAAAGTATAGGCAAATCTGCCATGCTGCGTTCTAATTCTGTTTAGCGTGCACCAGATTCCTTGGTAAGTCGAAACCTGGTGGTGAGTTGGTGTTGCATGGCATGTCACTGTTTTGTTACGACGTCCATTCCCGATAACAAGCGTCGGTGATGCTCCATTCGTCTTCAGTTGCATTTAGTGCGGTCTTGGTGGGTGGTTTTCTAGATCGGAGGCGGTTGTGGTTAGCATCCTCGATGTCTGTATGGATCGGCAATTCTCTGTTGTCCAATATCTTGTTAAACTCTCTGTACAGAGACTCAGTACTGGAAGCCATTGTGTGGGTGTGGATTTAATAACACCAGCGATCATTCGCATTGTATTATTGGTCTGTGCGTCTATTTTGTGGAAATGTGGGCTATTGAGCCATACCGGAGCGCAGTATTCGGCATCTGAATAGACGAGACCCAGAGCTGACGAGCGTAGAGTAGAATTTGAAGCACCCCAAGATGTTCCGCACAAATTTAGTATTATATTTCTTGTTTTCAACTCGTCTGCTGTTTTTGATAAGTGCTCTTTAAACGAAAGTGTTCTATCGAGTGTAACACCTAGGTACTTTGGGTTTTTATTATGTTTGAGAGTAGTGTTTTCAAACTGGACACTGAGTTCACTATTTGCAAGTTTGTTGGGCTGCTGTAAATCAACCAGCGGCGGAGAAATCAGATATGTTTGTTTGAGATTCATTGTTCGAGGAACAATAGTCTTTAGTTTATAAAAAAATCTTACAATATCTTACAACATCGTAAGAAAAAATTGAGTTCTAAAATCGTTTTAAATCAATATCACGACTGCCTCATCATGGAGATATTGATTCTGTTCATCTGTTAAACAGCCGCTACACTATCCCAAAATGTTTTACGAAATATTTCTGGAAATAGCACAAGGCAATCAAGGTCAAACGTTGTAGTGGCTTCAGAAAAATATGTAAAGATGGATAAACTGATTTAAAAACAGTTACCGATGGTAAATGAAATTGGCTATTCCTCGAAAGTTACACAAGAATATTTAGTTTTAATTAATATCTAATATTATTAATTGCAATATAGTAAAAACATATAAAACAGTGACTAACTAGCGGTCTACCATTTATCGGCTTATAATCCACGGTATTGCGCCTCATGAACAAAATATACACAAAATTATTTAAAACATCGTCTAATTATTAATTATTTCTGGTTATGGTAACGTAACATTTATACTGTAGACTGCAGCGAAGTTTAGTTTACGAATTTGGTTTTGTTTTTCTAGTTTTTGTCTACATCCCTTCATAATAAATACCGTATGATCGAGAAAAAATGGAGTCCAGTTGGCTTGGAAATGACGATCGTTGACATTTCCCATATAATTTTACATATAAAATGACAGCGATCTTCATTTCATAGCCATCGCTGACGCCGTTTTTTTTCGATCATGCGGTACTAGTTGAATTGATTTATATGAAACCATGCTGGGTGCTAATAAAAGTATTGTTTACAGATTGTCCGTGGACCATACTTTTGTTAACATCGGGTCAATTAATAATTTTCCCGAGCGGATATATTGATAATGTTACCAGTATTACTCATCAAGCAATACTTATCATTATGATGAGTAAATGATTGAGTACCAGTATTACTCATCAAGCAATACTAACTTTATATTAATCAATTAAGGCCGTAAACAAACATATCATGTACAATTTTATATACTAATTCATTATAATTAAATCATCAAAATATTGTAATAAAATTATATTCCTGCAGTTTGAGTGAAAAGTTTTGTTTCTAAATATCTACTATAAACGCGTGTTAATTACTACGCATATTAATTCTGTGGAATATTTATCAATATAACATAAAACGAGATGTAATTAACGAAATATCATCGTAACAACAGCTATTTCAAAAACGTCTAGGTTTACTTTAGTTATTTCACTGAAATTTATGAAAAAATATCCCTTGCCTTGGATACACATACCGCCACAGACAAAGAGTTATATTTTATGTAGTCATCATACGTCTAACCAATTTTTAAAACTAATTAATCTTATCTGAAACACAGCTTACAGAATAATATAGCTTGGACAATCGCCAATTTTTCCCACGCTCGAATTTAAAACGCCCTACTCCGACGATGCGCTAAATGAATTAAGCGACCGACAGTCAGCCTCATTCAGTCGATGCATAGCCTCCACCGGTGGTGCGTAGGGCCGTATTACGGAAGATTTTAATTCGATTTTTAACACTGAAAATGTTTCTGTTATCCTATATAAGGGAGCCCAAATCGAATTAAAATGCTACATTTGCCACACCATGACGTCATATATACAAGGGTATAGGAAATCTCGGCGCAGCGGCGGCAGTCGGCCAGCGCGCGCAAAAACCATTACATCGCTAATTGTTTATTGATATATCTTTATTAGTTTAAAAGCAAAAAATATGGGGTTTGCTTTGATACCTTGTCAAGACATGAGCGAAACTTTTAAATTGTTTCTTTTTTTCATTTAGGCCTTCGTTTTTCGTTAAATGAAAGTTATATTAAAAAAAAATCTCTATTTTTAAACCAAATTTTCGCATGATTGAAATGATTATTCATGTTTAAAGTTTTTTTTTGGTCATAAGCGCTAATGGAAATGTTTTTTTGTAAATAATTATAAAAAATTACTCCCTACGAAGACTTTATTCTGTACTGGATCAAAAAATAAGTATTTGTTTTCTCTATACGGTGGTATTAATATATCGATTTTTGATGATAGTGCCTTTTTACCCTGTTTAATTTTGTACTACTTTCGGAATAAGGGTCCCCATATCATGTACTGTGATGTACTGTACTTCCATCCCTGAAAAATTCAGCTTGTGACACCGAAGTGAGAGGTAACGTCAAAATAAGCTTTAATCTACCTACATCATCATAGGTAGGTGTAGGTACTCTAGGTAAATTCTACCTAGACAGTAGCTGAACTAGCTGACAGTAGTAATTAATTTGTTATCCGATAAGTAGTTGTCATTATATAAGTTTAATCGTCTTATACCTCCTATAACGGTAGGTTTTGGATTTTTCCTGATTGGTTTGTTAAACAAAAATATACTGGGCATATAAATGTCTGTTACAGGTTAATTCGTTAAAGAAATATGTTACACACATATTATTTTAATAATAATAGTATAATAGTAATGGCTATATTATGTTATAACACATTATTGAATTAACAATTGAAAACAGTATTGAATGTACTTATTTTAACCAATGCATTGTTTTGTTTTTTTAATCTCACAAATAAGAAATATTTTATAGTTTTTATTATAAAAAACAGTGATTATACAATTTATTTACACCCCTTACACTGTTTTCTGTAAGGGGTGTAACCAGGAGTATATTTCGTAACCTTTTACGATATAAGAGGGCACAAAGTGTTTTATTACTTAATGCTTAAAATTTAATAATATATTTGTACATAAAATAAAATAGACTAGAAAGTCAATTAATTAATATTGACGTAATTACTAAATAAGTACAAGATTTTTTTTCTAATTATTTTAGTGTATTTTTAGTCACCGAATTATAAAGGAGAGATATCCAACCATTGCATTATTTTACTCACAAATAAATGTTTTATGGTTTTTATTATAAAACAACGATTAATTTATTATACACCCCTTAACCCAAACACTCCAAGGAGGATATTTCGTGACCCCGTATTTAAAGTGGACAAGGTTTATTAGTCAATGTTTTAATTACCCAGCGTCTTTAATAAAAATCTAATGTAATTTTTCATAGAAATGATCTGACATGAAAAGCAAATTTTATCAAAAAACTTTTTGATTATCTACAAGGAGTAAACCGCTGACAAATGTCTGTATACTAATGCCAAAGTAATGCCAAAAATACAAATTAAATACCAAATTTCTCATATAATGCCCCACTAATGCCAAGCTGATTCCAATATAATACCACTAATACCACGAATAATATGTAACACATTTGTTTCACGAATTAACCTGTAACAATACTGGTAGGTACGTGCACAGATTTTTTCCTAGGTAACTTAAAAGTCGTTAAAAAGTCTAATTATATTTAAAGAAGATATAATTCCAACAAATTACATTATAAGGCCAATAATGCACAAGTAATACCATTAAAATTTTAGCGTTTTTAACTTGTGTAACATATTTCTTTAACGAATTAACCTGTAACAATAGTGGTAGGTACGCGCACAGATTTTTTCGCTAGGTAACTTATTAAGTCGTTAAACAGGCCTATAAAAGCTATAACAACATAGGTAACTAATATTTATAATTTAATTCGAGTTTTAATCTCAAATAATAAATGTTTTTACTGGTGTATTTCTGAAGTGTTCATTATTAAAAGTAGATATTCTTCAAGTTATGCGAAGTAATAAGTAATGTTTCCGGTGAGACCGCGTATATGTCACCGGATTCTGGTTAGTATAAAGACTTTTTCTATAGAAAGAGTTTTTTCTATATTTTCCTTTCAAAATAAGACTAATTTCTTCTTATTCTTTTAAATATTACAGTGTTTCTTTTTCCTAAAATGTTATACTTAATTTTCGCTTAAAATTAAAAAATCACAAATGGAGGAAAATATACGTTATTGAATAAAGTTTATACAAATCACTTTACCATAACAAAAAAGTAAAAACATGTCATGGCGGAAGATATTCAGGTGGCATTTCACACATTTATCTATTAAAATCGAGATTAAAATAATAAACTTGCGTAACATGTTATACACGAGATAGAAAGTTTCAGAATCGATTAATACGCAATACGCTACGCAGTCAACTTATTCCTATGCGCGGATGAGCGTCTTCAAGACTCTTCCTTCGGCCAGGGTCACGACGCCGCCGAAGAGGAATCGGCCTACGTTTGGCTAAACAGGCTGGACACGGTGGAGTACGATATTGGCGAGTCTGAATATTTATAAAAATTTGCAAAGTAAAATATGTTGGAAAAATAATTAATCCATACATATATAAAAGCTCAAAGGGTTTTTTTGTTGCATCCATCCCGCCGAAACCGCTTTACCAATCTTGATGATTCTTTTTTTAAATGAAAGGTATATATGTGTAGATTTGTTATGAAGTATTTTTATAGTGCTTAATGGCTATTTCTTTGTGTAAAACGACTAAATACTAAAACATACCTGAAAAACACCTACACACAATACCTCCAGAAATAAATTATTTGTCATTGTCAGTGGTGTGTCAGTTAGATTATATATTACGTTTTTAGATATTTTAGAGTGAGTTCATGCCGCCAGCTTTAGATACATAAATATTAGCACAAAGGTTCGTTTAAACGACATTAGTGAATTAGCTACACAAAGCGATTTTAGGAAATTCATCCTCTTAGAGAGTAAAATTATCTCGGAACAGTTTGTTGTATGAAAATTCCTTACTATTTGGTCTAGAAGAATGAAATCCTACAAAAAGAATTAGAAGAAATTTTTGAAATTCATCAACCAAATGGGTAAAGTTAGTAAAAATTTATATAAAACTTGGTGACTCTGGATTATACACATAAAAATTGGCACAAAGGTAAAGCGAACTTATGAAATTTATACCCTTAGGGAGTAGAATAGGGAATGAAAATTTGCTGTACGAAAATGCAATATTATAACATTATAAACCAGACAGTATAAAATTTTATACAAGGGTTTATTTAGTGACATCATAACGAAATATA